TGTGTTGAAACACACACGGTTTGTCCGCATGCTGGTCCATCAGTCCGTAGAAGATGAGTCCAGAGCTGTGATAACCGGTGTACCTCGTTATGATTGAAGTTACACTGAGGGTACCGTGAACCTCATGAAATCTACACTCGGGATCCTCCAAGAAAGAACAAAACTCGGAGCACGACTAGCCTTCCGTATATCTTTGAGCTTTGAATAAAAACAGCAGATTATTATCGTCCCCTGGACCTCGTTACCTACAGAACAGTTCTCTCCGGCGGACTGGAGGTCAGACAGAAGGAAGTCTGGATATTAAGAGCCTCCTGACGTTCTCCTGATGTCACTTCATAATGTGTGTGAGAGGAAACTGCAGATAGTATTGAACAGACCGGGTCCTAGAGGTTGTTACAAGCAGCTGTTCAGTTCAGTTATTGGGTAATAATTCGGTTTTTGTTTTGAAGTCAAGTGTAGTGCTCGTGTTTGATAAAGAAGGTGTTGGTTGGTTTTCTGTAAGTGGTTTTGTTTATAATCTATTTTGAAGGATGAAGATTGGATTGGATACATGTACTTCCTCACACTATTATATATCTTTGTAGTTGTGGTGATTCGGTTTTGCTGATTATGTTTCTTATTCTCAGGTCTAGAAAAGAGACATGATTGAATAAAGATTGAATAAAATAGATGATTATACTGTTGTTCTAATCAAGCTTTCTCACATCGTCTCCAGAATGTGTTCTGGTCCTGATGAAGTCACTGGAAACAGCTCGGGATCACAAACGCTTGGGTTGTTTATTTCCAGGAGTGACAGAAGAGAAAGTAGCATCTTCATCTTTGTATGAACCAGTCAGGGTGTGTGTGTGTGTGTGCGCGAGTGTGTGTGTGAGTGTGTGTGTGTGCTTAAGAGCCTGAATCGCTACATTACCTGCGGCAGCGACGCTTAACATCGCTCTCATCTGTTGTGTATCGGGACTGATTTGATTCCAGATGTGTCTTTCAACTCCGCATTGACTTCCAAGACACGCTCATCCACCGTGATGCAATGTGTGTGTTGCAAACACTCTGCAGCTGAAACTGGGTTCTCTTCAACCCCACAGAGCAGACAGACTGCGTCTTCCTCTGTAATCCTCCTCCTCCCTGTAATTTATTATTCGAACAGCCTTTGTGTCTGAGAGGAAACGGCTTCACCACTTCACTGCAGCATATCAGAAGCCAGAGATCTAAACTGAATATTAGTTCCAGACAACAGACGGACACGACTGAATGCAAAAGATAATAACAGCACGGGGAGTTTATTATGTCTCTGCTCGGTGGCTCCATTTAATTTAGGAGCGAGCTGTTCTTTTCATATGACACAGAGACGAGCAATGATGGTGTACAGTATGGAGTCACATTGTTCCTGATGGGTATGCATCTCTCCCTCCCTCCACATACCTCATGAAGAGCCAGTGAGTGGCCGTACCGCGGCGTGACGGTGTGGACGGAGGGGTCGAGGGTCAGCCAGCTCTTGCTGCTGAGGTTGTACCTACAGAAAGAAGAGAGGAAGGTGAGATGACAGCGGCCGAGCGGCTTCAGGAAGCTCCTCGTGTCCCGGACTAGTCTGTGTTCAGTCATTGGTACATGTCGAAAAAGAAATCAAACTGTTCAGCCGAGATTCCTGTGATCACTTAAATGTGACAGAGAGTGGTTGACCAGTAACTAACACGGTCCAATAGTTCTGTCTGAGATGTAGTAAAAAGTTAAAAAAGAAATACTTAGTTACCTCAAATGTGTGCTTAAGTAGAGTACTTAAGTCATGTACTTAGTTACATTCTGCCACTGCTAAAACAAGAGCACGGAGGTCATCACACCTAGCCTCCTAATCTTCCTCTCAAAGAGCACCAGATTGATGCATTCAACTTTAAAATGTAAAACATCTTCTCCCGGGGCTGCGTGTCCCACCGAAGTCTCAGTGAACTCTGTGGGAAATACTCGGCTCTGACACCAACTCTTCTTAATCTGGAGCTGCACATGTGGACGTTGGCTGGTGCAGCTTTACTGCTTTTCACTTATCTTCTTTACCCAAAGCGCCTGTTTGAACCCGGCTAAACCAGCCAACTGATCAAGAAGAAAAGGGGAAACGACATTTATCACGAGCCTTCATCGTGTGTCTCACCTTTAGGTTAGCGGTACAGTTTGGTGTCACAGACCGTGAGGAAGCTTATAACAGCGCAGGAGGAGAACTATACAACTGTGTCAAGGTGACAAACACAAGAAGTTGTGCAGAGTTGGCAGAATGCTCCTATATAATCTTATATGACAGACAGCATAGCCCTGATAAGCAGGACTAAAAGGACCTTGGCCTGCCTGCAATGCATCAAACCTGAGCGGGAGCCAATGGGTGGAGGGTGATCTTCCTGGGTGGAGTTCATGGTGAGGAGCATCGGCTCATCCTGTCATTTTATGGTTCTAATTACATCTTTTGGTCTGTGCAGAGCTGTGTTCTTCTTCTTCTTGATTTTCAACAGACAGAAGCTGCAGGACTCCCTGACAGCCACGTATTACTTTAGCACTCGGTGTAGAGAGACAGAGCGCAATTAAGTCCCGAAAACAAATCATCGCTCTCCATTGACCATAACTACGGTGATATAGAGGGTGGCTGTGGCTCAGAGGTTGAGTGGCTCAAATTCCAATCAGTTCGATTCCAATCCACGTCGATGTGTCCTTGGGCAAGACACTTAACCCCAAACTGCTCATCTGCGTGTGAATGTGGTGTGAATGTGAATTAGTTTAGCACCTTGCGTGGCGTTTTAAGAGGTTGGAAGACTAGAAAAACGCTCTACAAATTCAAGTCCATCCATCCCATAAGCTGCAGAACTGAGAAACTTGAGCCTTTAAGAAGACAGAAGACAGGCATCGGCTGGAAGAATGGGAGAACTGTGAGTGTATGTCGACGTGTGCAGCAGGCATCGTGTCTAAATGTCCGTTTTAGGCAAACTATGTTTGTCTAAAGCGTCTTCACAGCATGTAACTTGTGTTATAGTGGAACGTGGATAGATCAGGAAGCTGTGCACTATTATGCATGCAAGTGCCTTAGCTAACTACAGTAGCTTGCTAACCACTAAATTGATCATGGGATAAGTTAGCCATCGGCCCTGGCAGACATAGCGTGCTGAAATAACCCTTTGAAAGGCTGGAATCTGAAGTTTATAGCTCGCTGCAGGCCATTTGTTGCCCTTTCAGTCCTTAGCTGCATAAGTCGGCGGCGATTGCTTTGCCCTGCAGTGCCTGTGGTTTTGAGAGTATGACGCTCTGTCTCTGTAACGGGCATAAAAGTTAAAAACATTTACATTTTTGCAACAGACACTGTGTTTCAACAGCACATTCCCTGCAGTCGTATAGCAACAGCAGGACTCATGTCTCGCAGCTCTGTTGGATGAGAGCTGCAGCTGAAAGCCTAAAAAAATCCCAAGTGTGGATGCCCACAGGGGAGAGGAGACTTACGCTTTGACCATGTGATAGTCCGAGGCGTTGAAAACGTAGCCTCCAATGACCCACATGATGCCCTGGTCCACCACGGCCTTGTGGGACGCCCTGGCCAGCCCGGCCTCGGTGTACTCCTCCCGGCTCCAGAAGGACGAGTTGGCCGGCACTGAGACGAGGCAGCCTGGACCTGAGGAGGGAAGGAAACCTCAGAGTCAGGGCTCAGCTCATTTATAGGCTTGTTTGTGCACTTATATATGGTAAACACGATAAAAGCCTCGGCCTTTGAGAGAAACATAAAGAAAAGACAGCCTTAAGAGAGATTAAATACCAACACAGAGAATCTGCATTAAAACAAGAAAGAAAAGTCCCTGCAATTGATGAGGATTAAACTTTATCAGTTGACTTTAATGTCCTGCAGCCAGGAAGAGGCTTTAAAAACTCTGAGATATCTACTTACCATATATTGAAAAAAACAACACAATCAATTATTGATTTCTCTTGAATTATGGAAGTGAGAGGTGAACGGAGAGGGCAGGGAGCTTAACGAAGCATTTTAAAGCCTTTAGATAACTGAGACCGACGGTGCAGGTGTGGAGTAATTTAGCGTTAGAAAGTAGTTCCCAAAGCTTTGTGAAAAGCCAGATTATCCAATGTGTAAAGAAAAACAAGAATCTTTATCGTGTTCGGAGAGATTTCACTCTTTCAACATTCTCTCTGCAAACAAACTGTCGAGGTGTGACGATGTGGGCGGAATGATTCCTTTAAAGAGAGACGGCCCTGAAGAGCTGCCGTCTCCTGTTACAGGACGAGAACAATGACGGCAGAATCACTTCTCAATGAACGGGGAAAAGACTGCTGGCAGTCAAGTCAGAAATTAGAAAACAATTGTCCTCGCTGGGGTCAGCTCGTTGCTCTGGTTCGGCTACAGTCTGTCCAGTCCTACCCGAGGAAAGACTGGAATAAAACATTTACTGACCAATTACTGCCGTCACTCAGTCTTACAGCAGAATCAGGACGTGACACTCTGAGGGACTTCCTTATTGATCATCATCCAAACAATCCAGAAGTGGCCACGTGACGGGAGAGGAAGTGTTGCAACAATCAACGTCCCTGAACCCGCTCTCCTTTTTTCCTTTTTCCCCGATGGCTAATAATCTTCCACTACCTCCAACAAACCAAATTACCTCTGCAGCTTGGTGGCGTTTTGCATAAATAACACAAATGCAGCCTTTGCTTCCCTTGAAGACGTGATTTGTTGCGGGCCACCCGTCTGTGAAAGGGAGATTAAATGCAAGGCTGGCTTGAATAAACAGGCATCTGTCTGCTTTTGCACTGGTTGGTGCAGAAAATGAGTTCATTTGGGAGCTGGCAGCGCAGAGTACACCGAGTGTGCTATTCCTCGCTAACACACCGTGACAGGGTAATAAAGGCTAAAGAAAACACCAGTCTGCTTCTCGGCTCCCTCCGCTTTGGTAATTAGATGGTGAAACACACCGAGCTGCTGATATAACGGCAGTTAAATTAAGCCGTTGTCTGTGCGCGTGCAGAGTGGCTGAGCGGAGCCGTTTAAGAACTAATAGAGCTGTTAGGAAGCGCATATGGTCTGATTTAAAGAACGGGATACAGTGGTGTCTGGTCATCACCACATGAAACTAAAAAAAGACTCATGACTCAACTAAAAACAGATCAGGAAGCTGATCCTGCAGAAAGTCCATCTGAGGTCCGTCAGGTGACAGCAGATGGACGTTGGCCTCAGAACTGATAGTGGAGGCTGAGAGCTGAAGAGGCACTGGGACAAACAGATAAAGATAAAGTCACGATCACTCTTTACTAAACCGGCCTCACTGGAGATTCATTTACTTTATTTTTTATTCTTGGGCTTGTTCGAAAACCTGGAAAGCTCTGATCTTCATAATATTATATATATAAAATAATAATACAATTACTAAAATATAGTGCTGGGCAAGTTAACGCATTAATTTCGCGTTAACGCATTCATTAATTAAAGCCGACAATTATTTTATCGCGCGTTAACGCATTTTTTTAATTTATTATAATTTTTTTTTATATATTTTTTTTTATAATTGAAAGACAAGAGACAATACATAGACATAACAAGAGGATGACAAGAACAGTGGGATAAAAGCCAGCAAACATCCTATAGTCAGTAATTTTAGTGCACCTGTATGCTGAAATTTACGGTAAACGCATTTAAACGGCACAGATCGGGAGCAAGCGAAGGACTTTGAAAGTTAGCGGAAAGATTAACGTGAGACAACATCCGGTTTCTTCAGACGAACATCCGGTTTTCAGAATAAGATGCCAACAAAGTATGAATTATATTCACATTAAGTATAAAACATGCTACCTGCATCTCGTGAACCAAATGTTATTGCCCTTTTGTTCATATAGCAGTACTTTTAAAATAAAAGTGAGCAATACACTACTTTTGAATTCATTATTGAACGTTGCCATAACAATGCGATTAATCGCAAAAAATCCATGCGATTAATCACGATTAAATATTTTAATCGTTGCCTAGCACTAATAATAATATAATTCAGGATGATGAAAAAGGTGAGTTGAAATTCTTATTTTTATATTTTCTTAGATAAAAAAAACATTCATTAAGGTGCTGGGGGGGAAATCAGATCTTTGTTTGATATTTTTAAACTGACCTCAACTTCCTGTGTTTTCTACAGAGTCGGCATGTTTTCTTAGTGTTTGTACGCTGAGTGATGGTTTCACATAGAAGCCTCAATCCTAGTCCTGAAATAAAGGCTATCAACATATGAATGTGTTCTTTTACCTGAACGCCATCCCGCACTACTGAACGTAGAGTCGAGTCATCAGCAGAAGCCAAACAATCCAACTCCCTCATTAAAACCTCTCAGACACATTTCTTACCCTGATTATAGGAGTGTGTCCCACTCCACTCTAAGTGGGTGGTACACTGCACACTTAAGCAGATTACCTCAGGTACATACTAGCCTGATAAGTGCAGTGAATCGACGTTTAGTTTTAGTTCAGTCCTTCTATTTGAGTCACTGAACAAATAGCGGATGTTTGCGAACTCTGAAGTTATTGCATCTAATCTCTCTCTAACTGAAAGCACCACACCTGCTCCATAGAATAGTGCTGAAAACAGGAAGCAGGCACACTGCGTTGCCATGAATATCCTGGCTGTTACACGTGAATCTTGGCAGCTGAATGTGTGATTTACCCCCCGGGACCAGATCCGCGGTTCATTCTGCACGGAGAACACAGACCCAGTAAGAAGCTTCTTCAAGCCACCGAGGAGGGTTCGTGAGGAGTGGGCCTGCTGAAGCCCACCTGAAGACGTTGTGGTTATTCAGCGGATCACATAAGGTGCCAGCCCACCTTGCCATCCGGTCTTGCAGACGCAGGTCTTGCCCTGGCAGCGGCCTCGCTCAGGGTAGCCGCAGTCAGCCATGCAGTAGGGGACGTCACAGGCTCCACCCTTCCAGTTGTCGTCACACTCGCAGTACACCGAACCGGTGGAGTTCCTCACGCGACACTCTCCACGGCCCGAGCAGTTGTTGGGACATGTGTTCACCCTGGGAGGGAGGGAGGGAACAGAGAGAGGGTGAGAAACCAGGATTCTTGAAATACAGACTGAATAAAACAACAGGGACATGTTTCAACAACCGAGTTACATCTGCTTCCTCAGATGTCTCTCGGCTTAAAAGGGGACACATCATGAAAAAGTCACTCTTTCAGTGGCCGTGTACATACATGTGGGTATCGGGAGCCAACGCAATGTGAAATAAGACATCCCAGTCTGTTGTATTGTGGGCTGCCTAGATCAGAAAACTGCCATTCAGATTTGGCTCCCCACAGACTCAATACACAATTTTTCTTTTGCAAGCCAATCAAAGCCGACTGTGCTTCTTCAGGACGGGGGCTCTTAAAGAGACAGGCAATAAAACGGAGCGCTGAATACAGCTATATTCAGACAGACAGTATGAGACAAAACAATGTGTTTTACTGAACATTGAAGCGTGTAAACATGGTCTTGTAGAAACCCAAAATACAAGTATGAACCCTGAAAATGAGCATGTGTCCCCTTTAAATTTATAACATGCAACAGCAGAAGCTACAGTTATTAGCATCGTCCTCCGCCATCAGTCGGTCAAGCGGCTGCATCAACACTCGTCGTTCCTCTCAGACGGTGCTGCTCTGAAACAGCAGCGAGCTGGAGGCTGAGGTAACTGGCAGACGTCAGGTCACCACGGGCACAGAGGAGCAGATGGTAAGCTCACCCAGTCTGCAGTAAAACAGCTCTAATGACGCTCTCCACATCTCTTAGCAGGTCCTTTCTGTTGTACATTGAGCTTTTCCGTTAGCACACAGGGACAGTATGTCTCATGTTGTTTGCAGATAAACATTAATAAATCTGTTAAAACAGTTTAAGACGATCTCACAATCAATTTGACTTCTTCTTCAGTGTCGACATTATTTCAGGCGTTAGTACGAACTGGATCAGAGAACTCTGCTCCTGGTCGGCTTTGACTTTCATAAAAAGGGACAAAAATGCAACAAGTTCACCCTGAAAATAGATAAAGAAAAAGGGCTCGTGTGTAGCCCACAGTTACCTGTACCTGTGTCCACAATCCCATCGAACTGATGTTAAGCAGGTTTTGACTAAAACATGAGACTTTCAGCTTTAGAAACGGTGAACTTTCAGCTCCGTCATTTCCTAAAACAGCTAACGACATTTGAACATATTTGGGCTTCAGTGAGCATTTACAGAAGCAGCACAATGTTTGTCGGATCAACATAAAATAAACTACAATATCCATGTTCATGGTAATGAAGGAACATGTCCCTGTTTTTCATAGTTTTTGGACAACAGCGGAGCTGTTTTGTGCAGAGGAAGACGACATATCAGACTTGATGCAACACAACACTGTTAGTCGATGAATTCCCTGCTGGTTTTGGTCTGTTTATGGAATCTGTTGGCCATAGAAAAAACATAACCTATTGCCAGACCTTCCCTTTAATATAGAAATACAGCGTCCCTCGTGTTTTTATTCAAACAAGCCAATGTCGGTGCTGCTGCAGAAACACCCATCAGAGCTGGAGTGAGACGTTTGGAGCGAGACAGACGACACAAAGGGCCCTCGTCGGTCTTTCATGTTTCTTCGGCAGCTTCGTGGTTTTGATGTTTTTCGGCTCCTCCACCTCCCCGAGACACCAAAGACCGGGGGCCCCGGGGCCACTTTGCTTTCATCCGACTCGGTGCTTCTGAGCCCAACTTCAATCCCATCTCTATGGCGACGGTACCAATGAGCGAAGGGGGGAAAACAAAAGAACGCACGGGGTCCATTGTGTCCTTTGCAGATGTTTGGAAGGGACAAGCGTCACTTTGGTTTTTCACGATACTTTTCCTTCTAATGCCAGTCGAAGCCACCGGCTCGGAGACAACGAATGACACGTCTGTACCTGCTGCCGTGCTCTGATGTATGAATGTTTGGCAGATTTTAGGAACAAGACTATATTTCTATTGCTGGAAAGAAGTCCCAGCTGGTCTCTGAGAAGCTGATGTCAGATGCAGACGACATGCAGGAAACAACGCATGGGTGGAGTGAAGCTGCATTAAAAAAGAAAGAAAATGTGGCCTGAACCAGGAGGAGAAAGAAGTTCCATCTTGACCTCAAACGGATCTAAAGAATATATAAATATCATGTCAGAATCCCTCAAAAGAACCAAACATGTCACAGTGTGCTGGGCTGGTAGGTGACGGTGTGGTGATGCAACCAAAACCAACTGCAGCAGCACGACACCATCCTCTCACTGGAATGCCGTCACCCAGCCGCTCCAGCACGCAGCCTGAATCACGCCGAGAGTGACAGCTTCGTATGCGTCATCATGTCCCAAAGAAGAGCGCCAAGTGGGCTCCTTCGCCTAAATACATCTCAACAGCCGGTAAAACAAATGACTTGTGCAGGAGGTCGTCGTGTCTCAGAGCTCAGGGTGGAAGTCTGTGTCATTTAGCACATCCTTTTATCCGGCGACTTGACTCCATCCCAAAGGCGTGCGTGGACCCTGAGAGACGCAAACCCTGAGGTCAGGCAGCGGCGCACACTCAGCGCTGAGGATTAGCAGCCATTTGATATGTGGAAGCTGCTCCAGCTAAGATTTCAAAATCAAGGAAAGGCCTGAGGATATGAGTCAAGGACCGACCTGTGGGCGGAGTTATGAGAGATGCTTTGACTATATTATAGAAATGTTTTGCACTTTTTCTTTTGAAATGGAGCCACCAGGCAATTTAAAACGGAACATAACCTCCGCAGGTCCTTGGGTACTTTTTAATAAAACAAGAAAATGCGGAAAATGGTCAAATTAAAAAAACAACGTATGTTGTGTTTAACTCACCTGTAGGAAATGTTGAATCCTGTCAGGTTGTAGGCAGCGTCGCTGAAGAAGTGCAGCAGGGCGTAGCCGGACTGAGACACCACCTCAGGAACCGTCTCATTCCCGTAACTCTCGGGAACAATCAGACCGCTGCAATTACATTTGAAACATAGAATATTTTTATCACCATTTATAGATATTTTACTCCAAAAGTGAAATGTATATGAAGGTCAGACGTGTTCATGTGAGCATTCAATGGGCTAGTAACGGTTGGGAGCTTTCTCTGCCATCGTGGAGACAGAAGTGAATACTTCAACCAACAGTTCAGCCAAAGTAGAGGCCGACTTCCCTTAAGGGAATCCTGTGGACACAAGAGGCGGCCCGTCCTCCAACCAAACCTCAGTCAAACGCACCTGAAGGCAGCGAGAAGCGGGGCGTAGATGGAGTCTCCGTCGAACACGTACAGGTGGTCCCAGCTGCATTCAGTGGCAAAGTGGTTGAACCGTAGTCGGAGTATTGTGTTAGGCCTGGAAAACACACACACACACACACACACACACACACACACACACACACACACA